AGATCGTTGATCACGTGAAGTCTTAGGGTCTGCGTCAGAAGATTTAATACCGTTTCCATGGCTACCACATCATGCAGGATTAAGACGCACGAAAATGGCATGACCACTTTGTTTAGACGATACTAGGGAAGAACATAATGCAGCCTAATGGTACCAACATGGCGAACACGTGAACTGACAATTATTTTTCGATGCAGAAACTGTATCAGCCATCAAACAGAATTAATCCCGAAAAGCTGAGAGTATCTTGGCGTATGTTCATGATCATATTCACAAAAGCTCTCTGGAGGGCAGACATTTTTCTCTTCGGCGTGTACAGACCTGCCCTAGGGCCCATCCAGCGCCCTGAACAAACACCTCTAATTAATACCGAGGTAAAAGAATGCTTGGAGTTAAAGTTCCATTTTCGCGTACGTATTCACAGGTACAGGTGGTCCATCCGCTTAGTTTCCTATTGTAAAAATAACACACGTTTTAAATGTCCTGTTCATTTTATCGAAATTATTAGACGGGGAGTAAAAATTATGAAGACTGTTGGTGTGTAATGTTGTCTGTCCTTCTGTAGCACCTAATTCCATGGGTCTACAAGCATTAAGCGGCTCTTTGTAACCTGCGAAGTTGAAAGCTGACTCGTTCCTGTTTGGCTTCTCACGATTTGTTGACGCTGATATTTAACAAGGCAAGGACACACCTTAAGACGGATGAAACTGGAAAATTCCGCTTATCTTAATCCCGATAAAGAGGTTATATTGTTATCTTGCAGTAAGGGAACATTTCCTCACCTGGGCAGAGGACAATGGCGTAACAGCCGTTCTCGCCGTGAGCCAGATAAATTTCTGTGTTGATCCTAAATACGAAATTCCTAAAATTCGCTCTGTTGCTTCGAAAATTAAACGCTGCTGAGTGACACGGGGAACCCACAACGCGTTCTTATTACCGATTTTTTTTTGAAAATCGCACGCGTATTAAAAAATTAGTTCAGATTAATGCAAAATTCACGGCACGGCCTGCACTGGACAGATGAGAAAGGCAAACAGATTTTTCGTTGGGGAGCCCAAAGGAAAGAGATAATTAGGAAGATCTAGACACAGATGGGGAATTGGATCTTAAATATGGCGGGAGGGCGTGGACTCGATTCGTATTTCTCTTGTAGACACAGTAATTGTACTTCAGCTTCCACAAATGGTTAGAAACTATCAGTTTCTCAGCGATATTTCGTAGAGTGACGGCCGATAGGCCTGTATAAGGCTTGAACTTCTAACTTGAAAAATAATCGCACACGTGAGGTAAAACGCGAAATTACGCAAGGAGGTATGACAGTCAGCAAGGCCGATTGACTTTCTTTTCTCCGCTTAGGAAGTTCAGGGCAGTTGCCTGTCCTCGTTTGCCTACACACGAAGCGGAACAGTGGAGTGTCGGCTGGGAACACCGCGAGTTCCACAAAATTCTTGACTCAAAAACTTCTTCATCTGTTATTAGACGAAGTACGAAGGAAAAAATGTAGGATTTCAGGTTCTCACGGCTGTGAGCTTGAAGAAGATTGTCTTCTGGGTTGTAGCGCCGTGATTCTCTGTGGTCGGAGGTCTGGATTGGATTAACCTGGCTCCGTGGTATTTTGTGACAGCAGTGTCTAATCTTTAAAGTATCGTATGGTAAATTCGGAAGGAATTGACAAATTTTCTGGAAACCGTCCGTGTTGGTCCTCTGGAGAGTAACGCCGAGTGTATTCGTGCATAGATATTAAGCCCTGAAGATGTAGGCAGTATTTCTCTCCGAAACTTTGATATCTACCTGCAAGTCCACACGGCATTCCAGCCCATAAGAACAACGTGGTCACCGTATGGAGAAGTTCAAATATCACATTTGCGAAAAGTGCTTTAAAAAGAGAGGAAAAATTATAAAATATGTAAATAAAGAGAGAACTGTAGTGTAACAGTTGAAGGACAACATCTGCCTGTGGATGCTGCGGTTGTAAAAACTGGATGATGAGATAACAGACTTACGTCATTCAATTGTTCGGTCTTCACGGAGGAAGTGGGGGGGAGGGGTAAAAACCGTCACAACTCGACGAGCGGCTTCCCTCATTACTGAGGAGAAACGGCGGAGTCCTTGGCTCGAGACTTCGCATGGAAATGTGATTTCTTAAAAGAAGCAACGCTGTGACGACTTTGTACGCCTATTTTGTCGTCGTGTGGGGGCGGTGACTAAACACGGGATTACCACGAAGTGTCTGACTGCATTTATGACACGTCAGAACAGGGGTGTCAATCGATCCTCACGTGTGGGCCATTTGGCAAAAAAAATTGTATACACTTGTGAGCTTATCATAAAATCCAAATGTTTCTTTTTCTTTTTAAATGCGCAAAAAAGCCTGACGTGTGTTCGTATTTTTTTTAAAAAAAAAGTTCAAAAATTGGGCGAATTCAGATTTTTGTAGTCATCATCGAGCCCTCAGGCCGATTACCCTACTTTGAAGGACCATAAGTGATAGGTCGTAGCGTCCAGACAATGTCACCTCTAACAGAACGTTGTTGGAATAACCACAAATGGCAAGCGTTGACATAGGCCGCTTTTGAAGGAAGAGATAAAAATGCGGGTTTCATGAAAATATTGAACATGCAGACTACGTTGAAATTTCTCCGGTAATGTTCATTAGCGTGATTCTGAAGGCAAATTAAGAAGCTTTTGGGTGGTCCTTGCCGCCTCCATTATCAGGGCTCCCTGATGATGGCGGCAGCAAGCACCTCTGAAACATCGATAAACTTGTACCAGACTACACGGCTCAAACAACCCAGAAGACAGCCATCTTCAGGTCGCCGCCGTGAAACCCCAAATCCTACTACTCTTACTCGCTTTACAATGAAGAATGTATGTGATGCTGTCAATTTGAATGCCTCTGAAGGTTTTGAAGCTGAAGTTTGTGCAAATATTGTTTAAAAATCCAGTCCGAACCGCAAATAAAACACAACAGTTCCTAAGATCAACTAGTTGATGTTGTTTAAGGAAATAATCGCTGCTTTCTTTGCGGTACGGACTGTATTTTTTGTTTTTTTAGATATTGTTTCAATGAGCTTCGACTTCGAAGGATTTATTTTTAAGTTTCCAGTTCATCTCTGCTATTCATTTATCCAAGAGAAAATAACCAGTCACTGGTGTAAGAAATTCCGTTTCTACTGTCTGTATTTCTTTCTGGATTTTTTTTATATTTGTTTCGTTACAGCGGAACTGCAAAGTTTAACTTTTTTTTCCATTTTCTCTTCATTTTACTCCCTTCTAGTGACTTTCCATTTGATTTGCTCGTCTAGATAACTTTTGAAGCTTTCTACCGTACATGCTTTATTCAGATGTAAGTTATATTTGAAATTGCGGAAATTAAAATTTTTGAAAATTATTCTACTTTTTCCTCATCATCATCATCGTCATCTCAGAACGATCAGATGAAATCCAAAAAATGACTTTCTTTTCTTTTCTCCTGTTGACAATCTCAGTTAGTAAATTTATATATTTTCTTTAATTGAAAAACTCTTTATATGAGTTCATTTTTATTCTCAGCATCTTTTAGGGTAGACTACGAATGTGATTTCAGTATTTGAATATTCAACATTAAATATATGTGGCGTTGTCAGCGTTTTACAAACCTTGCATGAATTAAATTAATCAGATAACTACCTAGCAGGCTATTACGCCTTTCCAAGACAACACACGCGCCAGTCACTTGTCTAAACAACATAAGAAACTGCACAAAGTTGCCAGGAATCGGGTTGAACAGCCCCGGGCTTGTTCTACGAACTTCCTCGTTGGCATTTCCTAAGAAACAAAGCCAGACAGAAGACTGCAGTTCTAGAAGTAGTATATTATATTTTGCGAAGTGTTCACTGCTAATAAAAATGTTCTAAATAAATTTTAAACATCTTAATTACGTCTCTGATTTAGATTTATGTACGTATTCGAGCTTTTTTTGGGAGCATTTGTGAAGTTCTGTATGAAATTTCCAACATACTCAGGCATGCCAACATGACGCGGAAGTTACTACTATGTCACCAAAATGTCGGTTGAAATGAGCTGAATAAAATTTCGCAGTTTTTCGGAGCTGTATCCTTCTTGCCCAAGACAATTAATTAATTTGTCAAATGCTTCGTAGAAGACGCAAAGAATTTATGCATACACACGGAATATTTGCGGCAGCGGATTGTTGACAGAAAATATATTTTTTAAAAGGGCCTTGAATTTGTACACAAACTGATCAAACAATGCCTGCGATTACGTTTCAAATTCCTGTCTTGTTTGAGAATCCACTGAATGATTCGAATTTGTATCGTTTCAAACTGGATTCAACTGGTTGACGACAGATTTCAATGGCGGATTTCTATAAATAAGGTGAGAATTATCGGGATTAATAATAAAAGACAGAGAATTTCGCGACTGAGTAACTTTGTTGTGAATGTTTAAAAATAAGGTATTACATCACGAAATTAAATAGAGGCCAAGGTTTGAAAATGTTGCGAGTGGTTAGGTGTAACAGAGCAAAACCTCACGACAGCTTACTGATAATTTTTCGTGGAAGGAGTTTGCCTGCCATGTTTTTTATCACAAAGAAGACGACTTCAGAACACTATGACGGAGTGTGCTTGGACATACTTAGGAAAAGTACGTAAAACTCAATCAGAAATTTACAGAAGTGCACTCGAGGTTTGAAAAGAGTACCTCCGTAATATAATTAGATTGCTACCGCTACAATAACCTGGCCGGTAAAAGGACCAATAACGTGATGGCATGTACTGTTCCCGCTGTCAGATTTTAGCCTATTATAAGCATCATTGATTAGCCTGGCAAAGTGGTTAATCGATCCGGATGATAACATAAAAAAACAAGGGAGATTGAACTCCCCATTTACCTCCGAAAAGTGTAAAATGTAAGAATGAATGGAGTTTTAACACCACTTTGTCACACGCCTGTAAGATGTGATGGTTATTCTCTCTTGGCGAGCGCAAAGTAAGTACCTTTCATGGCTGCGGAAGGGTTCCTGTCCTCGATTCTTCTGATTCTTTGGCACTGAAGCTCGTTTCGCCATTGACACTTCCTAAATACTGATGCACCGAACCACAACACCGCGGCCGAAGAGTTGTTACATCACGCCGAAGGACTTGCCAGGCTGTCGAAACCTACCGCAACTGCTAGGACCTGCAGTCTGCTCGGTCGACCTCTCTCGCCGCCTAGCGCTGATGGCCAGGTACTTTCGCATCGGCTGAGGAGGGGGGGGTCCCCCCCCCCCCCTGCACGGGGAAATTTCTACGTACGATGTTTAACGTCACTTTCGTAATTTTCGTATAATGTTGTAATTTCATAAGACACGATTACCATTTGTATCGTCCGTATTTGGTAAAGACCGGCTTCAAGGCTGCGACATTGATGTTTCTTCAAAAGGACGTGTTCAAAATTCGTCATCTTAAAAGAGAGAAAAAAAATATGGCGGCATTACGAAATACTGGAGTGGGATAATATGCGTACGTGAAGGATCGATTTTCAGTAACATTTTTGACTTTCTGTAAAGTACTAAAGTTATGAATCGTCTTTGCAAAGATGAATAATAAATTATTACGCATGTAGCAGGCACTGTTCACGGCATTCAGGTGGAGTGACTGAAGAAAATAATTGCAAAATGAACCAGTACAACAGTTGAACAGCGTTGTTCGAAATCTGATGTGATCCGTGTGTCTTAACAGCAGGCAATTGCGATGTATAATGGCGTGGAGGCAAGAAACCGCGTACTTTAGACGTCGACAGATTCAGTTTGGGCGGCCGTCTGCCCTTTCTCGGTTTGGCAAAGAAGAAAGTAATTTCCAAAGAACCTTCTGGGACTCAAACCGTGGCCAACCAGGTAGACGTATGAGTTGCAACTTTCTCATGATAGGTTGGTGCATGTTAGAAACAAAAAGTGAATACACAATTTTGGTTGGGAATTTTTTAAGGATTGGTTCCCACTCCCGATTGGTTAACGCGATATGGGGGATAATATTAAAACGAATCTTTTGAGGGGGGGGAGGGAAAAGTTGTCGAAATGTGAAATAATTGAGATATAATTTTATGGCTTTTATTATGGCGGCGATGAAGCATGGGGCTTACTCATTTTTGTGAGGCATCAGAAGCGGGTGGCGGGCAGTCGGGGGTGAGAGCCGAAAGGAAGACAACCACAGTGACGTCACGGATGAACTGGAAAATCCAGAAATGTGTAATGCTTCAACACTTTTGCAAAGTGTGCAGCGTGATTTTGTACCGTCTTGTTGCTGGACTCAGCTTCTCGTAAACATTAAGAGCTCTTGGAGTGGTTTAAGTCATGAAAGCTGCTACTCATCTTTCCTAACGATAGATCTACAACCATTTGGTTGGTACACAAAGCAAAAGATTGCACTCAATCTGCTTACTTCTTGTAGGTTTCCAGGTCATAAATATTTATTCTTTATACACGTCATTAAAGACACGGGACAGATGAGATTAGAGTGGAAATATGTAATGAAATCAAAATTAGTCTAATGATGCTCCATTTATGAAACATAACATCCCTTTTGTTGCCTTGGTAACCTGCATTATTTTTTTAAAGAAGGTTTACTGATCATAAATCGCATTGTTTTTTATCTGTAATGTTTGTTCCAGTAATTTTTCCGCTCAAATAAGTATTTTCCGAATTACGAATTACGAATTTCCGAGACGTATGTAAGCCTTCACGTATTTTTGTTGCCCGATTTTAAACAATTTGGAACGCGTCCACCAAAAACTCTCTGGTACAAAAGTTCATTAAAATCTGTTTTGTGTGTGTGTGTGTGTGTCTCCAGTTGTTACGGATGGAGAGACAATCGTGACGAAGCTAACGGCTGCTTCTTTTGCTATCTGTTCTTTTTGAAGGGCTTCAGAAAAAACACTTTCTTTCGACATGTTTCCACGACAATGATTAATGCCTGTTGCAGAAAAACCGCCAGGAAGATAGAAGGAGATGCTGTTTCACTGATGTCGAAAAACACGTCTTCTCTATCTCTAAACGAGATATCTCGTGCGCAGCATGTAAAGTTCAAAACGTCGAGTGTCGGCTTAGTAAGCTCTCGTGTTTCAAGTAAGTCGTTGCCCCCCTCAAAGTCTCTAAGAACTTTACCAACGTTGATAGCCCTGATGATGAAGGCGGCAAGCACGTCTGAAACTTCTGTAAACTACCATAGTAAGTGATCCTTCGGATGACAGTGGACACGACTTTAGAAAAACGACGCCCATCGTCGAGGCGCGGATAATATTTTAAGATAACTAACGAAAATAGACGAATCCAACCTAACGCGAACGTTTTGTGGACCATATGAAATTTGTGTTTGGTCGCCTAGCAACCAGAGCAGAGAGAAGATGTGGTAAAAGAGGATGACGATAAAACACTCTCTCTTGCATCACATTGAGAATTATGAGAAAGAGACTGTACTGATATAATAGCGGATAGTGAAATGAGGCCTGATAAATTAACTACGTCTGTGGTTTCCTTACTGAAGCCTTGAGTTTTACGTAGAAAAGAAAAAAAACCGTAACAAAGAACGGAAGTCCACTTACACGTGTCAGTCTGCGTATTAGTCACTGCCCATAAACCCCCTGTGACTCGGAATCACAAGGCATTTTCTGTGATCCCCATTGACCAGACGATCAGGGGAAGAAAGCGATTACGGAGGACGGGAATCCCGTAAAATAATAGCCTTGTCTTTCTTTTTATCGATGTAATAAAAAAAATTGTTTCGGAAATTCTGATAAGTCGGGTCATCGGAAAACAGCATCTGAGGCCCTAGCGCGGAAATGACTGGGCCCTGGTGTAAGTGGGAAGTGACTACTACGAAGATCTGGAAATTCATAGCTTTTTTCGGGACCCGGAGGCTCGTCATAGTCGTCCTCCATTTGGTTTAAATAAATTAAATGTAAGATATTATTTGATGAGCTGAATATCAGTATCGAAGGAAGATCATGTACCAGGGATTGTGAAAATCTATTACATGTCTGGTTAGCCTACCAGAAATGGACTAACAAAACCGAAACATATCCAACCTAAACTAACCTAGCCTACGCCAACCCAACCAAACCTAAACTAACCAAACTCAATACAACCTAACCCAACCTTAGCCAATACAACGCAACATAATTCAATGTAACTTATTTCAATCAAACATAAACGAATCCGAAATAGCCGACTCGCATAGGATAAAACCCACCGCCATTTTAAGACTTCCACATAACCTTCCAGGACTTCTCCAGCAATTCTCCAGGATTTCTCCAGCACTTCTCCATGGCCCATGAAATTCCACATAAACTATCCAGGGCTTGTCCCACACGACTTTAGAACTTATCCAGAAATTCTCCAGCACTTCTCCAGGATTTCTCCAGTACTTCTCCATGACCAATGAAGTTCCCCATAAACTATCCAGGAGTTGTCCTACACCACACTACAAATTATCCAGATTTTCTCCAGGATTTCTCCAACACTTCTCCATGACCCATGAAATTCCACATAAACTATCCAGGGCTTGTCCCACACGACTTTAGAACTTATCCAGAAATTCTCCAGCACTTCTCCAGGATTTATCCAGTACTTCTCCATGACCAATGAAGTTCCCCATAAACTATCCAGGAGTTGTCCTACACCACACTACAAATTATCCAGATTTTCTCCAGGATTTCTCCAACACTTCTCCATGACCCATGAAATTCCACATAAACTATCCAGGGCTTGTCCCACACGACTTTAGAACTTATCCAGAAATTCTCCAGCACTTCTCCAGGATTTATCCAGTACTTCTCCATGACCAATGAAGTTCCCCATAAACTATCCAGGAGTTGTCCTACACCACACTACAAATTATCCAGATTTTCTCCAGGAATTCTCCAACACTTCTCCAGGACAATCTAACCCATAGCAAAACAGAACAATCTTATCTAACCTAATCCAATGTAACGCCCTGATGTTGTAGGCAGCAAGGACCTCTGAAACGTCCTTAATCCTCTACCAGACTACAATGTGCAACATCCTAGAAAACATCCACCCATGCTAACTTAACTAACATTACTAAGCGATCCCTACATCACTAACCTATTCTAAGCAACATCACTAACCAAGCATACTCTATCATTGCTTTAGTTAGCGCATTCTTACGCTCAGTTGTTGCAAGTTGTTCTATGTTTTGTCACACGATGGCAGATTCTGAACCCAGTTGTATTGTGTGCCATCTATCAGCCATTCTTGGTATTACTTCCGTCAATGTATTGACTTACATAATGTTGCTTCGGTATATAAGCGTTGTTTTATTAATCCACTTTAAATGGTAACTATTGAGTGTTAAGGACGGGGTCCGAGATTGTTTTAAGCCGTTATCATTGCATCTGGTTAGAGAGAGAAAGAGAGAGAAAGAGAGAGATTGCGAAATCTCTGTCTTATCGTCTACCTGAGCGTGGAGCCATTTGCTTTACATACGTACTAGAGGTCGAAACTTTGGCGTTTAGGGCTCCAGTAACTTAACATTTTTATAACTTGAGTTTTGTTATATTTAGGCGTTTTTTACACAACGGGGCAGTGAGTGTGAAGCCTTCAAATGTCAGAGAGCGACGAGCACATTGGCCGTCGGTTACCAAAATATCTTTTGAGAACTTTGACAGATAATCTGGATGAAACGCGATTGAGGTTAGGTTTAATTTTAATAATTCTGAGCATAATTTTACTTAAACCTTCGAAGCCCGAAGATCGTCGAAATAATATTTTAGAAAAAAGTCCGTACCGCAAAGAAAACACCGCACTTCACCATTACAAAGATCGACTGGTTAACGCTGTTTAAGGAAATGATCGCTGTTTACAGTGAGGATCATAGTTCGTCTGATTAATATTAAAGAATTCAGTCCGTACCGCGAAGAAAACACAACTCTTCACCATTACAAAGATCGACTGGTTAACGCTGTTTAAGGAAATGATCGCTGTTTACTCCGAAAACCATATAAAGCCTATCCATAAAAGCTGAATACATTTTTTCTGCTTAAGCAGGTAGAAATGATTTTCTGACATCGTCGTTAAAGAAACAATACGTAATATCAGACTAAACGAGGGTAAGGCAGCGCTGAGTAGCAACTGAAGGGAGGGGGTGACATAACCAGATTATTTATTGGCGGAAACTTAAGAGGATTACGTAAGGACGTTGATCAGCAAATTATAAGAAAGCCCGATCTGTTTCCACGGCAGTAATCAATGTAACGTAATGTAATGTGAATCTGCATACCAGAGGCTATTTATCTTAAGCACCAGCAACCCTTTAAAGCAGCTCAGAGAATAAATCTGACGGGCTAAGAACTGGACATAGTTAATGGTTTATTTAACGACGATTTTCAATAGCTAGACGATGATAGTGAATGACGAATTGGAAAGGATGGATGTCAGGGTTCAATTTCCCGGACAGGCCTACCAATAAAGGCTTCAATCTGTTTTCTTGTGAAACTTACCACTAGTTGTTGAGGAATCCATCACCCCCTGACGGTGGAGAAGTGCCGCTCATTTTTAGCGTTGTTTGAGAAGTAAGAGGTCGTCTTTACAATCCGGCTGCTTTCCTCAGCGGGAAGACCACGTGGACCTCTACTCGCTGGACAGACGTCGTGGTGTGTCTCAGGGCCGGTCTGGAATGTAAAATATGAATGTCATCTCCTGAAATCGAACCGACGAATAGAGAAAATTACTGATGTTCTTCTTCTTCTTATTATTATTAAGTGTTCTGTCTTACGACAGGTCCATTGCTCTGCCCAAACAGAGCTCTCCAGTTGTCCCTATTCTCGGCTTCTCGCTTTAATTCCTGGAACGTCATCTTCTTTCCTTGTTTAAGGTCGTCGGTTAGCTGTATCAATCTTCTTCCCAGTCCTCGCTTTCCTTCAACCTGGCCTTCGGTGATATCACTCATTAATCCATTCCTTCTCATAATATGTCCCAGCCAGTTAGCTTTCCTTCGTGTAATCGCCTTGCTCGTTGACTCTCCTCAATACTTCTTCGTTGGTCACTCGATCCGTCCACCTGATCTTCTCTATTCTTCTCCAACACCACATTTCAAAACTCTCCAGGTATTTCTGTTCCTTCTTCCTGAGTGTCCAAGTCTCTGCTCCATACGTAACACTTGACTAGTTTCATCTTCATCTCCAAGCCCAACTTGCTAGTGAGAAGTATCCTCTTCTTGACGAAAGCTGCCTTGGCCATGGCTAACCTTGCTTTTACTTCCTTGGTGCATAGGGCGTCCGTCGTGACTATGCTTCACAAGTACTTGAAATGCTCCACATTCTCGATCTGTTGGTTTCCAGTTACAACGTTCAATGGTTCTGCTCTTGGTGCTATCCTCATTACCTTTGATTTTTCAATGTTGAGCAGCGAAATAACTGGGAGAGAGACACGGACGGAAGGTGGAACAAGTTGAAAACTTGAAAGTCACTGAGTAAGATTTCAGGTTCTCACGGTGACGAACATGAAGATGGTTGTATCGCCGTGCAGTCTGGTAATCGTTTACAAACGCTTCAGGGACACGTGTTACCCTGATTACAAACAGGAAAAAAGCACCTCGGAAATGAGTTTAGGTGACAGGTAGAGAGAGAGACAGAGAGAGAGAGGGGGGGAGGAGGATGTGGAATGGCTTGAACCGTGAGGTTTGGCGCCGAGCCTTGAGTTCAGTTAGCTGAGTTTTAGTTAATTAGTAACCTGTTCCCTCAAAATACCTTTGTCCCTTATTTCTAAATCGAAAATCTGGCAGACAACCGTTTGTGAGAATCACGGGCAACTTGGAGAATTATACATTGCAAGTTATGAAACGAGCCAGCAATTGAATGATAATGGCTTCTTCGCTGGCTGCGTGTGTTGAATAGAAACTCTGTTGCTTGGTGACGGAGCTGAATAGGGTAATAATAGGCTCGTGATATAGTGGCAAGGCAAGCTAGAGGCAGCAGGGTCGTAAATTCTCCTAGCCTCGTCCTAGTGGGAACTTCAGTAACAATTTCGAATCGCTTGGCGTTCAAAAGCCGCACAACGTCACTCCCTTCATTAATATCGGTTCCTCGCTCTGGAACCAGTCGACTTAGGCAAAACGCAAGACTTTCGCTACCCTGGAGACACGCGACCGTTCGCAATCGTGTACTACGTACGTCTTCTTCTTCTTCTTCTTTATAATATGAATTATAGGGGTCTGCAGTGGCCGCGCGGTCTGAGGCGTGGGCCTTCTGCCGCTTGGTCGCTGGGACCGTGGGTTCGAATCCCACTCAAGCCATGGATGTTTGTCCTGTGTACAGGAACAGGCCTTACGACGGGCCGATCCCTCGTCCAAGGAGTCCTACCAAAATGTCTATAGATCAAGCCAACGAAAAGTTGGGACCCTCAGATGCTCAGGAACTTGAAGAACGGGTCGTCCCAGTATCCAGTAATATGAATTATAGTAATAAGATTACGGTAATTCAAACCACGTGTGTAAAATAACAGAGAGCGCTGTTTTTATTAACTTCTGTTCGTGCTGGTATTTGTATTAAATTGTTAAATCCGATGACTTATCGAGTTTTTGTCCCTACATCAGAATATGTTGCTGGCGGAGAAGACGAGATCTCAGAGCTACTGTCACTTGTTCCCATGTTGCTCTGGAAGCGGCGTGTCTTTAAGCAATTAAGTTCGCACCATAAACTATTTCCTTGCAGAATTTTAATGTTTCTGAGTTCACTGCCCCCCATACAAGTTACCAGATGTATTTGAGGGGGGCTTCACTTGCGCAGAATGTGTTCGAGACTCCTGGTGTTGAGATAAAAATGCCTACGGAGTTCCTACCCGAACCAAAAAGCGGCCACAAGTACAGCAGTGGAAAAGAAAACATCAACATTTTATGTTTCCTTAAACGTAGGCAACACGGAGTTTTCCTCCGTGACATCCCAACAATTACTCCATTCACACACAGAAGAAGGCAATGGCAAACCACTTCTGGATCATCTGCCAAGAACGTATATGGACAGGTCCCAGTCCGAGAAAAGGACGGAAGGATCCTGTTCATATGGACCTGTCGTCAGACAGAACAATAAATAAAATAAATAAATAATAATAAACGTCATCTGTCACTGCTAACGTAAATGGTAACTGACAAGGTAACTAAACTATTCAAACTAAACTTTGCAGTTGTTCGCAAGGCGTGAAATTGAGACTTCCCGGATATTGATAATACCACGAGATTTCACTACAGTTACATTAATTTTTCGAGGTACTCCTCAGACGGACCCTCAAAATACGTCACGACTATTTCGTTCTACATCCAATCCCATTCATTACAGATTATAGGTCAATCATTAGGTGGTTTGTGAACCAACGCATTTAATATAGCGTCTCTTAGGTCGTTACCTGATTTAGAGATTTTATATTTGATGAAAAGTCGAAGAACGCCTTATTAATCTCTTTGAATTACAATGTAATCAATTACGAGTTTATGCATAACGTCACATAAATGCAGCTGCGTGCTACAAAATAGATTACAGTAAACTAAAAAAATTCTATTTAAGATTTATCTCCATGAATAATACATTTCTCACAATAATTTCCCATAACAAACGTTGGACACTGGTGGAGACATTCGGTTTCATTATTTATTATTTATTTATTTAGTGTTCTGTCTGACGACAGGTCCATATGAACAGGATCCTTCCATCCTTTTCTCGGACTGGGACCTGTTCATATACGTTCTTGGCAGATGATCCAGAAGTGGTTTGCCATTGCCATCTTCTGTGTGTGAATGGGATGCCACGGAGAAACCGGGGAAGCCCCCGGAGGAAAACCCCGTGTTGCCTA